GCCTCGAGACATGCCACTGGGGACAAGAGGTCGTGGACTGTGGGAAGAAGGAAGGAATTTCTACTCTGTTATTGGCCAAGATCCTGCAAATTCTGAAGGGAGGAGGACATTTCTAGATCAACATCCAACTAGTAAACTTGACTGAATAAAAAGAAAGTCACCGTAGTTGTAAAGTAAGAGTGACTTTTTGGAATGAGTCTATTTAATCAGATGCATAAAGTATACTTAACTCATTGACAGCCAAACTATTGTGATATTTGACAGCCTTAATTTTGAATGGTGAAAAAGAGACTGTTTTCCTGAAGTCCTGTAGTGTGTTTAACTCGTTGACAACTAACAGTATTGTTATTATTAACAGTCTTAATTTTGAATGGTGAAAAAGAGACGAGATAATTTTTCCTAAGAGTCTTTCCGCCAATAAAATGAAGTTGCCCTGGAACAACATGGATTTGAACTTCAAATGTTCATTTATATATGATTGGCATTTTTGGGGGTTTTTTTTCCTGTTGCTGTTGTAGTGAGCTCAGATGTTCCGAGAATCTGCTTAAAACCGTGTGCTTCTAATCATGTTCTGGTGAGCAGTCTGTTTTTCCAGTAAATAGTGTATTCCCCCAAATTAGAGAGGTCTGTAAACACGTCGTCTAATGAGCTTTTTTTTGTACTACTTGGCTGCTCACTAGAAAATTGGTGGTTCAAACGCCCTAGCAACTGTGCTGGAGGCAAGACTTGGCTCCCATAAAGATTAGGTACAGCCTAGGGAGCCCTGTAATGCAATTCTCTTGTCACATAGCATCCCTATAGGGATTGTCTTGATGGTGCACACCACCAATAACTACATCTCCACTCTCATAGTAGAAGTCATTTTGTTCTGAATTGTTATTTTAGCCAAATAGAATTTTTTCCCCCCACTTTAAGATCAACTCAGTTCGTTGCCGTCGAGTTGGAACAGACCTTCCATCTGATTTTTGACTGGCTATAAATTTTAAGGGACCCCTCTGTCTCCTGAGTAACCACTGGTGGATTCAAACCACCAGTGAATGCTGCCTTTCTTTGGCTTAGCATCACAACTGTGGACTAGGTCTCTATAGTTTACACAGCATGACACTGTCATTTCAGAAAGAGAGATGGATAGTGGTAGAGTTGCACTAACAATCCAAAGGCAGATGGTTCAAATCCACTAGCTACTTCATGAGAGAAAGATGAACATTGTCCTCCTGTGTGATTTATAGCCTCTGAAAACTCACTGAAGGGTTAGTAATGCATCAGTTCTGAGTCGACAGGATGGAGCAACAACAACATAGGTGTTATAAGGACAGGCAGTATGAGAGTGACTCAGGATGGAAACCATTACAGAATAGCACCAAGAATAAAAATAAGGAAGGGGGGAGAGCTTTAATTAAAAAATAAATTCATCTACCTAAATACTTACACTATAATAAAATAGTGTGGCATTTTTTTGTCATCTTGTTGTTGCATGTCACTGAGTCAAAACTGACCCTCCAGTGGGTTTTCAGAGGCAGTAAATCTCACAGGAGGAGATTATCCTCCAGCAGAGCAGCTGATGGGTTCAAACTATGGGCCTTTTGAGTTTGGTTTTTATCATATTATGACACCTCATCAGCATTTTGTAGTCTGCAAATACTGCTGAATAGTGAAACCATGCCAGTCTTTGTTTTTCATGCTCTGAAGTAAATTTTAAAATGATACTATACAGTGTCATTGATTTCACATGCAAGCAAGATTCTAATGAAGATCATCCAAAAATGATTAGAACAGCACATCAGCAGAGAACTGCCGGAAGTCCAGGCTGGGTTTAGAAGGGGTCGTGGTACTAGGGATATTGTTGCTGATGTTAGA